CCCCTCCCCAATCCCCCCTCCCGCTGTCTGTGGAAAAATTGTCTTCCACAATTGATGTCCATGAAATCAGTCCCTGATGCCAAAAAGGTTGGAGAGTGCTGCTTTAAAGGATGCGGGATGGGGAGAAGCCACACAAAGGACTCGTAAGGTAGTGTGGAAAGCTGTTCCAGGGAGTCTTTGCAGAAGATTCAACTCTTCTCCCAACTCTTCTACAGGGAAACTACCTACCTTGCCTGAGTTGAAAGCAATGATCAGACAGATGTTGCTATAATCACTAGCTCAGCTATAGTTGCTCTTTGGCAATGTTCTTAATCTACCAACAAAAAGACAATTCTATTCATTGGATTGATGACTTAAGAGACTATTTGCTTATGTTTTATTTATTTCTAGATGCTTTGACTAACCACTTTAGTTGTGATTGCTACTTTTTGTTTGCCTGGCTTGAAGCTATCTCTCCCCATGCCTTGTGGCTCTGGGACTGTCCTTGAGATGATCTCTTTTACCCTGGCTACCAGAATGGGTATGAGGTCCAGGAATGTGTATTTGAAGGACTTCATCCCAGTAGCCCCCATAATGGGTTCTCAGTGATGGCCCCTGATACAAACTGAGCAGGTTGAGTTCTCTCTGACCTGATGACTGACTGAGGGAGATTCAAGGTCCACTGCCTCTTGCTTCTGGGTGCTGGCACTGGAATGATACAGACATGGAGGGCCTCAGGGGTAATCTGTCTTCCTGACCACATGGAAGATATCTTTGTAATGGTAGAGTGAGAAATGAACACCCAGAGAGAAGCATAGCTGAAGAGAGATTACAGAAAAGGGAAAGCAGTAAAGCAAGATAAAGAAAAAGAAGGGGGGGACAAGAGATATAACTCAAGATATTGCCTGCGTCCCTGGATACAGTTATGCCTGATTCAAATCTACTTCTGCCCACTCTAGTTACATAAGACACTCTCTTTTTTGTTCATTCCATTTGAAGTTGGGAGTCTGTCTTTTATAATTGAAAAATCCTGATGAACAGAAACACTTCTTTTGAAATAGTTATCACATTTTCTGTGCTCTGCCTTCTTCTACTCTCCTCTGTCTGAGTTCTTCCTTGTGCCAGGTATTGTGTCTTTGCCCTGGAGTAGCTCCTCATCTCATTCAGGTACATTCTCATCCATGCTTACAAACATAACTTGGAAATATTATGAATTCAGTCCCAGACCACCACAGTAAAAGGAATACTACAATAAAGTGAGTCACACAAATTGTTTGGCTTACCAGTGCATATAAAATTATGCTTGCACTATACTGTAGGCTACTAAGTGTGCAATAGCATTGTGTCTAAAAATGTATATAACTTATTCAAAAATACTTTATTGCTAAAAAATGCCAGTGATCATCTGAACCTTCAATGATTCATAATCCTTTTGCTGATGGAGGGTCTTGCCGCAATATGGATGGCTGCTGACTGATGAGAGTGGTGGTTGTTCATGATTGGGGTAAGTGCAATTTTTAAAAATAAAATAAGACAATGAAGCCAGCAGCATTGATTGACTCTTCCTTTCATGAAAGCTTTCTCTGTAGCACATGATGCTGTTTGATAGCATTTTACCTACAGTGGAATTTGTTTCAAAATTGGAGTCAATTCTTTCACATTCTGCCACTGGTTTATCAACCAAGTTCATGTAATATTCTAGATCCTTTGTTGTCATTTCCACAATGTTCATAGCCTCTTCACCAGGAGTAGATTCTATCTCAAGAAATACTTTATTTTCTCATCCCTGAGAAGCAACTCCTCATTCATCAACATTTTATCATGAGATTGCAGCAATTCAGTTACATTCTAGGCTCCACTTCTAACTCTAGTTCTTTTTCTGTTTCCACCACATCTGCAGTTCCTTCCTCTACTAAAATCTGGAGCCCCTCAAAGTCATCCATGAGGGTTAGAAACATCTTTCAAACTCTTGTTAGTGTTAACATTTTGAACTCCCATGAATTACGAATGTTCTTAACAGCATCTAGAATAGTGACTCCTTTCCAGAAAGTTTTCAATGTCCTTTGCCCAGATTCATCAGAGGAATCACTATTATGCAGCTATAGCCTCACAAAATGTATTTCTTAAATAATAAGACTTGAAAGTAGAAATTACTCCTTGATCCATGGGCTACAGAATGGATATTGTGTTAGCAGGTAAGAAAACAACATTCATCTCCTTGTATGTGTCCATCAGAGCTCTTGGGTGATCAGGTGCATTGTCAACGAGCAGTAGTACTTTGAAAAGAAGCCTCTTCAAGCAGTGGGCTTAAAATATTTAGTAAACCATGCTATAAACAGATGTGCTGTCATTTAGGTTTTGTTTTCCCATTTATAGAGCACATGTAAGTAGCTTTAGCATAATTCTTAAGGACCTTAGGGTTTTGAAATGGTAAATAAGCACTGGCTTTAACTTATCAGCTACATTAGGCCCTAACAAGAAAGTCAGCCTCTCCTTGGAAGCTTTGAAGCCAGGCAATGACTTCTTTCTGGCTATGAAGTTCCTAGATGACATCTTCTTCCAATAGAAGAATGTTTTGTCTATATTGAAAATCTGTTGTTTGGGGTAGCCGCCTTAATCTATGATCTTAGATCTTCTGGATAGCTTGCTGCAACTTCTCCATCAGCATTTGCTGCTTCACCTTGCACTTTTATGAGGTGTATGCTCTACTCCCCATCATGCAAGCAGGCCGCATCCCTCCTCTCCAGGTTCTCCAGGTATCCAGAGACCTCATGGGGAGGTATTCTTTCCTTAAGTCTTATGAACCAATTTTTGCTAGCTCCAAACTTTTCTTCTGCAGTTTTCTCCCCTCTCTCAGCCTTCATAGAGTTCAAGAGAATTAGGAACTTGCTATGGAATAGGCTTTAGCTTAAGGGAATGTAGTGGCTGATTGGTTTTTCTATCCAGACCACTAAAACTTTTCTATCAGCAAGAAGATTTTCACTTCCTTATCATTTGTGCATTCACTGAAGTAGCACTTTTAATTTCCTTCAATTTTTTTTCTTTTTAATGATTAGTGCTATTTTTTCTTTTTTCTTTTTCTTTTTTTTTTTTTTGAGCTGGAGTCTCACTCTGTCACCCAGACTGGAGTGCAGTGGCCGCTCCCGGCCACCACAGCCTCGACCTGCTGGGCTCCGGCGATCCTTCCGCCTCAGCCTTCCAAGTAGCCAGAATTACAGGCATACGCTACCACACCCAGCTGATTTTTTGATTTGTTGTAGAGATGAGGTCTCGCTGCCCAGGTGGGTCTCGAACCCACGGGCCTCAGGTAATCCACTCACCTCAGCCTCCCAAAGTCTTCTTTTTTAAAAAATTTATTTTATTTTAAAGATGTGGGGTACAATTTAAGTGGTTCGTATAGGTAAAGTTTGGTCCTCCCGTTGGTCCCTACTTTGCCTGGTATGAGATCAGGTACCCCTTTTAATGTTATGTGCTCCTCCCCCACTTCCCCTGGCAGTTTCCGGCTACTGCTAGTTCCTTTTTTAAAGTATTATGGTAAATGTTCAGGCTATGCTTATGGGTGAGCAAATTTGTTTCTTTTCATTCATAACTTGGCTAACTACTTGGCATAAGAGGCCTGACTTTGGGGATATCTTGGCTTTTGACATGCCCTCCTCACTGAGCTTGATTATTTCTGGCTTTTGATTTAAAATGAGAGATGTGTGACTCTTCTTTTTAACTGAACACTTAAAGATCATTGTAGGGTAACTGCTAATATTAACAATATTGCTGTATCTCAGGGAATAGAGAGCCCTGGGGAAAGAGAGTTAGATGGGGGAATGGTCAATTGGTGGAGCAGTCAAAACACACAACATTTATTGATTACGTTTTCTGTCTCATATGAATGAAGTTCATGGTTCCTCAAAACAGTTACAATAGTAACATCAAGATCACTGATAACAGATTACCATAATAATACAATAATAATGATGTTTGAAATTTGTGAGAATTACCAAAATGTGACACAGAGACACAGAGTGAGCACAGGTTTTTGGAAAAATGGCGCTGCCAGACTTGCTCAATTTAGGGTTGCCATAAACCTTCAATTAGTAAAAAATGCCATGTTTGTGAAGGACAATAAGACAAAGCTCAATAAAATGAGGTATGTTTGCATATATATATATAAAATTATAGCAGCAAATAAATACCACTTCATGTGTTGCATTAAACCATCCACATACTTGCTTCTGGAGGAAATCTCACCCTTTTATTTTCCAAGGAATAACTTTGAGGGTTTGATTTTTTCCAGCCCAATGATGGTGGAGTCTGATGCAATCTGGAAATCCATAAACATTTCATAGGTTGGTGACCACAGAGATGAGGAGAAATCAACAGAAGCAATGATGGGAAGGTGCATGGTCTATTGGGTAAAGCAATGATGCGGCAGTCAGGGATACTCCAGCAGCTCTCTGCACATCCTACAAGTTCAGTTGCAACCAGGCTGGTGGCTCAGCCCAGATAACCCCTAGTCCAGCAAATGATGATGCTCCCTAACTCTCACTCAACACATCTGTTGAAAAGAAATGCTTCACAGTCCAAACATGCTGAAAAATCACTTGGCATTATGGAAAAGAGAAATGAGGTGGCATTAGGTTGTACTCAAAGAAAGGAACAGGCTCAAACCTAACCAAACCTGAACAAAGCACTAAATCCCAGCCTGTGTGGTTATTTACAAAAGAGGGGGGGGGTGGTGCAGAAGGAGAAAGGGCTGGAAAGCCCACTCTGTGATGAACATGCAAAATAACACAAAAGAAGACACAAAAAGCTATGGCTACCTCTCTGACTCTAGTGCTCAAGTTAATTTGTACAGGCTGACAATCCATTTAGGTAATCCAGTAGGATCATGCTATGAGGGAAAGACTAACTTGCTTCTTAATGGAGCCCACCAGTATCTCTGGGTTATTTATTTCAGTGTGGTAGAGACAAATTCAGGCAGCCAGGGAGGTTATGAGATGAATGACAGTGATGGCAAAGATGGAGGGTTAAATGTTCATGGTCATATCTGAGCCCCTGGACAAGGGCTGGACCATGAACTGCCTCATGGTGAGGTCTCTGGACACCTCATTCACCTGGAGAGCCTGCAAAGGAGGAATAAGGTTTTCTTGTGTGATGGGGGATACTGGGTACACCTGCCAGCCCCGGGGAAGTGGGTGTCCCTTTTCTGTACTGGGTCAATAGGTTTTGATGTTTAAGCAAAATGATCTCATAGAGACTTCACTTTAAAAAACCAAAAACTTATTTTGGAACATGATCTTTTAATAAGCCCAAACCAGTCCAAGTAAATCACATGCAACAGCAACAAATTCCCTGAAGCATCATTTTTAAAAAGTCCTTTCAGCCTCAAAAGCTCAAGGCCCAGTTTGAGTTTGAATGCTCTGAAATCTTCTCTTGTCATTCTCCTGCTGGGTGATCTTTTCTTCTGAAAAATGACGCCTGCCCACTGCTCTCTGAACCGTGTGTGCAGCACTTACCAAAAACTCCCTGATCCGGAATTCCCTTTTATATTGTCTGCCCATGAAATTGTAATTTCTAAGACATTGGAGATCTGGCCTTGTGCTTCCTTATATGACTACATCAGAGCTTTGCAGATAGTTGGTGCTAAATATGTGTTGACTGACAGAATTATACACCAATAAGCCCCCAAAATAATAACTACTACTTGTTGAGGGCTCACTATGGTACATTGCATTGATGGATGCTTTGCATGTATTTATTTTACACTCATACCATCTACTATTAGCCAAACATTATTCTAAGCACTTAAAAATATTAGTATACTTGATTTTCACTGTAATCCTGTGAGACAGACACTATTATGAATCATTGTTCTCACTTTAGGGCTAAGTTAAATAGGGCACAGAAAGAGCATACTGGCCCAAGATGACAGCCCTTATCAGTTGAAGAGCCAGGATTTGGACCTAGGCTGTCTGACTTCAGCACTCACGCTCTGGGGACCCCCATTGTTAGAAAACCTCGGAAAGGAAGGTGTTATCTTTATTTTATAGAAATTAGACACAGCTTCAGAAAAATTAAGCTTTGATGTAAGGTCACCCTGTCCATAGTGGCAGAATTAGAAAGTCATATTGCACAACCATTTGTGACAGTGGTTCTCCAAGGCTGCTCCGGGCCCAACAGTATCAGCAACTCATGGAAACTTATTAGAAATGCTAACTCTTAAGTCCCACCCCAGACCTACTGAGTCACACATCCTCACGGGGACCCAGCCTTCTGGGGGGCAGCAAGCCCTGCAGGTGACTCTGATGTACTCAGAAATTTAAGAACCGCTACACTGGGGGCCAGCTGCCTCCTCTTTCAGCATATTATTTTACACTGAAAATAATAAGCAGCAAGCAATTATAGCCATAAGAATGGATGGACCATGGGGCCTTTATGGGAATGGGTCTAAACCAAAAACACAAATACTGCAGACTAAGAACCCTCTAAAAGCTTTTCGAGAATTGACAAATGTATTGACTGGTAGAAAACAGTTGGAGGCACTTTCTCACTCCATAGACCTTTTTCTATTGCTGTTAAGTCTGAGCCTCATTGGCTGCCAGAAGTCGTCCTCAGATTCTAAAGAAATGAATGAATTTTCAACACCTTCCTAAGGTCAGAAAAAAATCAATTTTCTTCCTTAGTGAGTTTCTGGGTCTTTTTTGTATACAATCCTAATATGAGTAGACTCTGGCTTCCAGCAAGGTTGAAATGCTACCCATGAAAAATAATTCAGATTTTCCTGGTTGAGTCACCTGGATGACATCAGGTATTTGGAGCGGAATAGGGGTTGGTTTGAGGGTATAATGAAGCTACCAACACTCTTCCCAGACAAGAACTTTCCTGCATTCTCTGGGTTACTGATCTTTGAATTACATTCTTCTCCAAGGTGATGTGATAAGGAATCAACTTTCTCTTGGCCTTCAGGGGCTCATTACCTAGTCTAGATTATTCGAGGTCTTTGAAGCTGCTGTTTCCTCAGGCTCTTGATCTTCTGGAACTTACAGCTCTAGTTAGTGCCTCCCATGGGGGCAGACAGGGAAATAATAGAGCCCAGCTCAGAAGTTGCTATGAGTCAGGAGATATTTGTAGCCATATGACTGGAACTAGCTCCCAGCTAGTCTGGGAAGGACCCAAAGGTGATTTTGCTGTCTTTCCCCTTCAGTGATCTTTTCTGTTATTTACACACCAAGACACTAAAAGATCAGTGGACCAAGAATAAAACCACCTAATTCACAAGAAAGATATCACTGGTATTAATTTACAGAAAATCAATTTACTATTAAATGCATGTAAATTTAATTAGCTATGAGATATAATTAAATATATACTGATTTAAATAGCTATGCAATTAACTTATATTTGCAAGGATTTTTTTAAAAAATCATAGAATTAGCAAGATTTCTTTAAAACCAACTGCATACTTACCTGATGTTGGTGAAAGTGCAATTAGAAGGAATACAGAAAACAATTTTCAAGTATGTATCAAGAGCCTTAAAAAAGAGTTTATATTTTTTGACTCTGTAATTCCACTGAAGGAATATTTTAGGTCCAAAGGTGTTTTACAGCATAAATTATAACAATGGAATATTATAAATGGTCTAGCTGTCCAACAGGAAAACAGTTAATTAAATTCTGTGGGCATACTCAATGAAATGCTATGTAAATATTAAACATTATGTTTACAATAAGTATTTAATTGTATAAAATGTTAATTGTAGTAGGCAAAAAGTTTGGCATATAAAACTAATTGTAACTATAAAAGAGCATCTACTCTTAAAAATAGGTTAAGAAAACATACTAAAATAGTAAGAATAATTATAGATACTGCCTCTTTTGGTGTTATCTTAAGAATTTTTTTTCTTTTTTTGTATTTTTTGCTTTCTGTATTCTGTATTATTTTTACAATGGAAAAATAAATAAATAAATGATAACATTTAATTAAGTGCCTAAAATGAACCTAGCACCAGTCTGGGAATTTGGGATAAAATAATAAACATGCTGTTGTCATCCAAAACCCTGGGATGCTATGGGGAAATACCACGTAATGGGAAAAGACCTGTGGAAAAATGTTTACCCCATACCATGGGTACATAGAGCTGCTAGTGCACTGTTGCAGAAAGTAGTAGGAATTCTAACCTGGGAATCCAAGAAATATTCACAGAATAGGTGGCCTTTTTTTTTTTTTACTTTTGATACTATCCCCTTTCACTTTTACATTTATTATTTCTTCTGTCATTGTCTCTGTCTGAAAATGAGTCTATCAATGGATAATTAATATGAAAAGCAATGAATAATATTCTAGAGAGAAACAGAAAACAATGAAGCCTTCAAGCTTTGGGGTGTTGGAAGGCTACTCCTCTCTCATGATGAACATGCTACCTCTGCCAAACGAACTCAGCATCTTCCCCACTGTGGCTTCCTGGAGGACATCTGTGGGCCAGCAAGGCCACCTGTGAACGCCAAGGGCTGAGGTTGAAGGGCCCATAGGAGTGGCCACCCCAGAGCCAGGGTGTGTGCAGGACCCACTGGCTTCTTTCTCTCCCTGTGTGCACTTTATGGGGGTGCCAGAGCCAGTTCTAGACAGACCAGTCTTGACTCTGGACATCAGGCTCAGAGGGAATTGGAAGTATCTGGCTGAGACAAGGCTTGCAGAGGAGAAGGAAACAGCAGTAACTTCTAGGGGGAAAGTTCTGGTGTTCTGTTCACTGAGGCACGGGCTGTCTTAGCTTCCTGCAGGGAAGGCAGCTTTGGAGCCAGGCAATCTAGATTCAAAGCCAGCTCTACCCTAAATTGACAGGAAACCCTGGGTGATACACGTGATGCCCTGAGGCTGACTTTCTCATCCATCAAGTGCCTCGTGTGACCTACCTACAGCATCTGAGAAAACTTCCTTCTCATTCTACCTTCCTTTCCCCTTTTATTCCTATGCTAATATAATCAAAAGCCTTTAGTGGAGTCAATAATTCCGACACCCAATTTATTTTTATCTTTATTATTTTATTTTATATTTTTTGAGTCGGAGTTTCATTCTTTCTCCCAGGCTGGAGGACAGTGGCACAATCACAGCTCACTGCAGTTTCAACTTCCTGGGTTCTGGCGATCCTTCTTTTTTTAAAATTTTTTAAGTTTTAAAGATGTGGGGTACAATTCAGGGTTAGGTATACAAATGTTCATTTTGCAGGTACCCTTGATGATGAAGTGTGCCCCCCTCCCCTCGCAGTTTCCCACCACTGCCAATCCCACCCCCCACCTCCTCGGCAGTTTCCTACTGCTGCCAATCCCTTTCTTACAGTATTATGATAATTTCTCAAGGTCCACTTATGAGTGAGAACAGGTGGCACTCAGTTCTTTGTTTCTGTGATGGATCACTCAGTATTATAGACTCTAAGTCTATCCAAGGTGCTGCAAAGTTCATAATTTTGTCCTTCTTTATGACTGTGTAATATTCCATTGTGTATATGTACCACTTTTTAAAACCCAGTCCTCTTTCGATGGGCAGCGTGGTTGGTTCCATCTTTTTGCTATTGTGAATAATGCTGCAATGAACATGCATGTGCAGGTAACTTTTTCATAGAGTGATTTGAGTTCCTCTGGGTGTATTCCCAGTAGGGGGAATAGCTGGGACTACCGGTGTGCACCCCACGCCCAGCTAATTTTTTTGATTTTTCCCTAGAGATGAAGTCTCCTTATGTTGCCTAGGCTGGTTTCAAACTCCTGAACTCAAGCAATCCTCTCACCTTAGCCTCCCAAAGCACTGGGTTTATAGGAGTGATCCCAATTCTCAATTTTTAAAACTTGCTACCATGCCTGGCCCCAATTCTCAATTTATTAAATGCAGTGACAAAAGCAGTACCTAGGATCTTTCTAGAATCTCTGCACCCTCTCAAGGATGGTGACAGGACCCTGCTGTCCTTGCTGAGCTCTCAGACTTTTTTCAGCGTCATGTCTTTCTGTTTTTCCGGGATTTAAACCTGACCTCTGTTCTGCTGAGCACTCTGTGACTGGTTCATTCTAGGCTGGCTCCTGACACCCGTTCCATTTTGTTTTTCCATCATCCACCTGGTTGTGGGTTCTCTGGCTGCCCACAGCACAGAACTGACCCCAGGTTCTTATTAAATAAGTATAAACACAGCATCACAAATATTAATTGTATCCTCATCTAAGCCCATGAGGCAGGCACTATGTTGATCCCCATATCAGAGGAAAATAAGGCACAGACAGGTTAAGTAATTTGCCCAATAGGACAGAGCTAGTGAGTGGCAGAGCCGGGATCAGGACAGACTGTCTGGTTCCAGCTCTGTGCTCTACGGCTTCTGGGCTAGGCTGTGCCCTACAACACTTCAGCTGTAATGATGTAAAAAAAAAAAAGGTGCTTGCCTGAGACTTCAAGTCACCAATCATGTGGCGGACAATGATAAGTTATATTATCATCCAATTGGTGGTACATCTGCTCGTGAAAGAGGGCTCTACTAGTAATTTCTCCAGGTTTCTGGGAATAAACGTGGACTGCCCTGAGCAAATCAGGGCTGAAGGTGCTGGGACTCTGTTCACTGGGTCCTGTATAATCTTTCCTCCCCTCTCCTGTTTTTCTTCATCACCTCAAGAGTACACGACTTCTTAGGTTACTTTATCTCCAGGTGCCCAGGTGGCTGTGCCCTGTGTCAGTTCACAAAAGCCAGGAGCCCACACAGAACAGAAGCTTTCTCTCATTCAGACTGATGGTCATGCCAAGCTCATGACACCTGCCCTGCTGATGAGGTTGGACTCTGAGGATGTTGTGGGACATTCAGTGGCCTGTGTGGAGCCCCTGGGATGATGCCACAGAAGCAAGAAGGTCATTTTTGATGCCAATGCACCCACAGGACCTGCCTCCTCCCAGGGACCTCCTTGGGCTCCTTCTCAGCTGATCACACAAGGGTCACCTGTGAAGGGGCCTGAGACCTGTGGTTCTCGAGGAGACATCTGAGTGGAGTCATCTTGTCTGTTCAGTAAAGAAGCTTACAGTTGGCCTCGGTTGTCCCAGTACCTGGCTGAGGTCTCGCGTCTCTCCAGGGTATCTGCAGAAATTCATTTCCACACAGGGCCACCTAACTTGGGGCCGATCACCTCCTATGCCGGACAGGTGCCCCAACCACTCAGCTTCCTGCTGCTGCACAGCTTGCCTCGAAGTTCCCTTTCTTTGATGCCTTTTCTTGCTCTGCAGAGCCCAGGTCTGCCCCATCTCCTGCAGGAAGCCTTCCAGAACTACCTTCACCTCTCCTCTAAAGTCATAAAACACCGAGGCACTGTTATGTGATTTAGAGGATTATTTAAACCCTCTGAGCTGTAGTCGTCACTTTGCACAATTCTCCTGCCTTAAAAATAGGGAGAGGTAAGGCTCTTTGACTTCTAGAATTCTGTAATAACTTTCTTTTAGTTTATGTCATGTATATATGTCTTGCCTGCACATTAATCTCCTTCAGGCAATGGTAACATCTTCCCTTTTTAAAAAAATTTCACACAAACACTAGCATAGCTCTGGGCAAACGTAGAGCCTGGCTCATAGCATGAGTTTGACGCCTTTGAGTTGTCAGTTGCTGAGCTGGTGTCCACACAGCCCTTTCCTGCTCCCTGTCACAGACCTATGTCTCCTGGGAGGCCATAGTATCATCCTCTGCAGATGGCCTCAGGCCTCACGAGCCCTCATGGAATCTTCCAACTGTACCGCTCCTACACAGACCAGGTGGCTTGCTGTGTTCTGACACTTCCTCCCCTCCAGCCCTCCAAGTCTCCTTTTATTTACTAATGTCTCACCCTCATCCTTCAAATATCACTTATGGACCACAGACTCAGAGTCTATTTAATGGACAAAACAGAAAAGACCCTTTCAAAACGCTGTCCACGGTGGCAAATCTCATTTTTTAGGCATATTGGGAGCAGGTGGGGAACAGGTGAATGAATTGACTCAAGATGGATTTTGCAATCTGGTAGAGATCACGTGGCACATGGGTGAATGTGTGTGCATGCAGAGAGGAAGGAGATGGTAATTCTCATGGGCCAATGCACAAGGTGGGGGAGGTGGTGCCAACCCCCAGGGGACTGTCAGTAGCACGAGCAGTTGTTCTGCTAGCCCAGGACCATCCTGGTATTAGCATGAACATCTTAGGAAACCTTCAGTCCCGGGGAAACTGTGACAGTCGGTAACCCCAGGCTTCAGTAGTTAACACCTGGTTTAGGTAGGTAATGGAAGGTTTAGGTAGTCAACCCCAGGTTTAGGTAGTCAACCCCAGGTTTAGGTCGTTAACACCAGATTTAGGTAGCTAACCACAGGTTTAGGCAGTTAACTCCAGTTTAGGGGAGGGCTCTGCTGGGGCTTGAAAGATCAGAAGCTCTTCTTCATTATTTATAACATAAATTTAAAACTTTTGGACAGTTAGTGTTGAAAATTATGTCTATAAATATCAAATTCCTATGCCTTCTTTACAGTGTTATGGGCTGAATGTTTGTGTCCTCCAAAGGCATATGTTGAAATCCTAAACCCCAAAGGATGGTGTTAGGAAGTGGGGCCTCTGGGAGGTGAATAGGTCATGAGGATGAAGCCTCATGAGTGAGACGAATACCCTTTATAAAAGAGACCTTAGCAGGGCTCGGTGGCTCAGCCTGTAATCCCGCGCCTTTGGGAGGCTGAGGTGAGTGGATTGCCTGAGCCCGCGGGTTCGAGACCCGCCTGAGCAGCGAGACCTCATCTCTACAATAAATCAAAAAATCAGCCGGGCGTGGTAGTGCATGCCTGTAATTCCGGCTACTCGGAAGGCTGAGGCGGAAGGATCGCCGGAGCCCAGCAGGTCGAGGCTGCGCTGGCCGGGAGCGGCCACTGCACTCCAGTCTGGGCAACAGAGTGAGACTCCAACTCAAGGAAAAAAAAAAAAGGGACCTCAGAGAGGTGCTTTATACCTTTCACCATGAGAGGACAAAGGCGAAGAAGGTTGCCAATGAACCAGAAAATAGGTCCTTGCCAGACGGGGAATCTGTTGGCACCTTGATCTTGGACTTCCAGCTCCAGACTGTGAGAAATACATTTCTGTTGTATATCAGCCATCCAGTTTATGGTACCCTGTAAAAGCAGCCTGCATGGGCTAAGACACAGATAAACACATCTGCATATACAACTTCATGCTTGCATGTGTATACCCATTACTTAGACACCCAGGAGAGGTGTCTTAAGTGAGTCCCTTTCTTTTTGCCCAGGCCTAGCCAGAAATAACCAGGGTCTTCTAGATTTATGAGTCAAAAATTACTGTAGCATGCCACCTGACAGAGAGCACTAGGCTGGAGCAGTGGGTAGGGGGATGACCAGGAGATGCTATGGTTTTCTGATACCACGTATCAGGGTTTTGCATTGATGAGCAGAATTTGCTTAAAGACAGATGTGGTCAAAACTGAGCTTCTTTGGGAGTGTGAGTCTCTTGCTGCTCCAGCCCTCAGCCTGGTTCAGAAGATGCCCCAAGTCTGTGAGCAGCATTGGCCCGGGGCCTCCCACCCATCTGGGAGGCTGGCTCGGCTGAATAAGGACATTTTTGAGCTCAGCAGGGAGCATCTGAGGAAATATTTTAAAATGCAGCTAGCCTTCTGCTGTGAACTCGGTAATTAGCACTTCTGGAAAATCACTGCACTCCAAAATTTGAGCAAAATGAAAATGTTAATTAATAAAGCGAAATTTCTAACTCCTTATACTATCAGGAGAGATTCAAGCTGCAAAATATCATTTGGCATTATGAAAATGTGACTTGGAGGAGACTTAATGGAATCATCATAGTAAGGGTCTCCCTTTGTGGACCCATTGGCATTTGCTTTCCCTTATTAGAAACTAGTACGTAATTGCAACTGCCAACATGGAGTTATCTTACAACTCACAGTACATTTAGAAGCTACTGTCTTGTAAAAAGTCCTCTTAGGGGTGCCAAATTACCACCCTTTAATCTGTAAGACTTCTGGTGAGATGGAATGAAATTTGCAGTAGAAAAATAAAGAGGAGAGAGACCAGTTTTCAAATAATAGTATCACAAGGAGAAGAGGATAATGAGTGGGTGGCCTTTCAATGCCCTGAACATTTAATTCATGAGATGTGTGTGTCTCTCTATAGAAAATCTGCATTAAATATGACCCCTACCTATCACTATACACAAAAGTCAACTATAAAGAGATCAAAGACCTAAACATAAAACCTCAAACTATAAGAACCTTAAGCCGGGCTTGGTGGCTCAGCCTGTAATCCCGCGCCTTTGGGAGGCTGAGGTGAGTGGATTGCCTGAGCCCACGGGTTCGAGACCCGCCTGAGCAGCGAGACCTCATCTCTACAATAAATCAAAAAATCAGCTGGGCGTGGTAGCGCGTGCCTGTAATTCTGGCTACTCAGAAGGTTGAGGCGGAAGGATCGCCGGAGCCCACCAGGTCGAGGCTGCGGTGGCCGGGAGCGGCCACTGCACTCCAGTCTGGGCGACCGAGTGAGACTCCAACTCAAAAAAAAAAAAAAAAAAAAGAACTTTAGAAAATGCAGGAGACACCCTTATGGAAATTGGAACTGGCAACCAATTCCTGATCAAAACCACAAATGTCCACAAGAGATAAGATGGACAAGTGGAACCTTGTCAAACTGAAAAGCTTCTGCAAAGCAAAAGAAACCATCAAGAGAGCAGAGATAGTCCACAGAATGGGGAAAAATATTTGCCAACTGTATATCTGACAAAGGTCTAACATCTAGTATCTACAAGGAACTCAAACATGCCAAAAAGAAAAAAACAAATGCCCCATTAAAAAGTTGGCAAAAGATATGAATAGACACTTCTCAAAAGAAAACATACGAGCAGCCAACAGATACATTAAAAAATTCTCAGCCACACTAATCATCAAAGAAATGAAAATTAAAACCACACTGAGATACCACCTAACTTCAGTCAGGAGTTAGTCATCACTAACTCAAAAAAAATAACAGATGCTGGAGAGGATGCGGCAAAAAGGGAACACTTCTACACTGATAGTGGGAGTGTAAACTAGTACAACCTCTGTGCAAAACAGTGTGACGATTCCCAAAAGTTCTAAAAACCGACCTTCCATATGACCCAGTAATGCCCCTTCTGGGAATATACCCAGAGGAACTAAAATCATTCTATAAAAAAGACACCTGCACATGCATGTTTATTGCAGCAGCATTCACAATAGCAAAAACATGGAACCAACTGTGGTGTCCATTAAAAGTAGACTGTATTAAAAAAAGTGGTACATATACACGGTGGAATATTACACGGCCATAAAGAAGGACAACATTCACAGCAACTTGGGTGGATTGAGCCTATAATACTTAGTGACCCATCACAGAAACAAAGATCTGAGTTCCACATGTTCTCACCCATAAGCAGACCCCAAACAATTATCATCATACTATATGAAAGGGATTGGCAGTAGTGGGACAATATTGCCAGGGGAGGAAGGGAGCAGGGCACACTTCATCAATAAGGGTACCTGATCTCAAACCAGGTGACGTGGGGACCAAAGTGAGGCCCATCTTTACCTATACAACGACCATTTGTATATCTAACCATGAATTGTACCCCACATCTTTAAAATTTTTTTAAAAAAGAAAATCAGCATCTACTCCAGAACCCCATGAATTATAGTTGGGAAACCCAAATTCTCAAAGCCCTGAGGAATGACACTGCAACATCTCATTGCTTCTTAATCTCAAACATTTATTAAATGACTTTCCTCTAGACACTGAGAAATATTTTCATTTATTTTAATTCTACTTTATTTTATTTTTATTTTTAAAAATAGAGACAGGGCTTCACTATGTTTCCCAGGCTAGTCTTAAGCTCCTGGCCTCAAGCCACCCTCCCATCTCAGACTTCCAGAGTGCTGGGATTACAGGAATGAGCCGCCACTCCTGGCCAAACACTGAGAAATATTTTGTACACATGAGGATATTATTCAAAAGAAAAAGGAGGCTCTCATAGGAGGAAGGAAAGTCATGGCCGTTGCCAAATATGGACTATAACAAATAGCTATTATTTACTGAGTGCCTACTCTGTACTTCATGTGATCACTACCACGTGACTTAATTATACATATTACCTCAGATTTGCCCAATAATTATGCAAAATACATATTTTAATCATCCTCATTTTATGAATGAGGAAATCAAATCAGAAGGTTCAAGGTCAAAAAAGCTAATGGGGTTGTCTTGCTCCAAAGTCCATGTTTTTCCATTTTGTAATATTCTCATCGC